AATACCTCCCGTATAGATCCCCTTCCAAGTGGATGACAGTAGTAACCAGGCACCATCTAGTTCTTCTGGTCACATAGTTGTATACGCTGCAGGTCGGATGATGTACCAGTCGCTAGGACTAATTGTTCCAATGAATTTTTGGTTTTCTTCTTCTTCTTTGCTCTGGACGAGGAGAGACCCATCATTGCCTCTAGATGGCAGCTTGCTAACTTTTAAGATCCCAGTCACTACTCGTCAAATTAGGGGGTGGAACAATGTTTTGTATAGTATGTTATGCCAGTTGAGCTCGATGTCCCCTGCAACTATGGTCCCACCCCCACAGGTTGAACTACTCGGTCTCTCTGGGCAGCTGGCTGTGAACAAGCAGTGACTACAACCCTTCCCCTTGTCAGCTCTACTATAAACCTGGGAATTCTGATCATTCACATAAACTTACAGGACCATTGTCTGCCAACCCTATGTATTTTCTTGGATACCCTCCCCATTTCATAGACATACCTAATCGTCTAGCCTGTCCGCCTTTCTTTCCCTCCATATACCCATGCTTGCCTTCACTGACAACGCAGTACTGTATGTGCAAAAGGTTCGTATTTGTTGTCTGTACCTCCCAGGTACCTCTCTGTCTTTCTCATCCTCAATGGTGCCATATTGCTCACTCACATATGGTACATTGCCCTTCTCTTCACCCAAATCAATACTTATTTCTATCTATCTAACGGCGTTCCCTTCCTTCCCCTCCCACCCCTTGTAACCAACCAAGAAAATTTCCTTCTATAAGATAAACCTTTCCTTAACTCTTACAATAACGGACTAATACAATATTTGTCCTTTTGTGATTGTCTTATTTCACTCAGCATAATGTCCTCCAAGTTCATCCACATTATGCGGTGTTTTGCAGATTCTGCATTATTCTTTAGCGTTGCATAGTCATGGTGTCCCTGGTTTCTTTGTTCCATATTATTTTCTGTGCTGAGCTCATTATGTTTATGAATCATATTATCATTTCCTTTGTTGCTGTTGTTTTAGTATATGCTTCTTGTCCTCTTTTTTATTGTGATGTGAAGGTTTATCATTTTTCTTTGAGGTTACCCTATGATTTATCATTTTATCCCTGAGTTTAGAATAGTCCATTCTATCTTGCAACTCTTTTCACTTCTTCACCATTTACAAGTTCTGTAACTACACAGTCTTTTCCCTCTTTTTGTTTGTAGTTGTTCTCACTTGCCAATTGATGTCTCTGGTTCCCTGTTTATGTAAGCTCATTTTACTTTGGATATGTCCATAGCTGTGGTTTCTGGGTTAGGTTATCTTGTGTATTAATGGTCGGTTGTTATTTGCTATTTTTGGTTCTCTGATCAAAGGACTCCCTTTAGGATGTCTTGTAAGGTTGGTCTGGTTTTAACAAATTCCCTTAGTTTCTGCTTATCTGGAAATCTCCTAATTTCACCATCATATTTGAGGGACAGTTTTGCCGGGTATATAATTCTTGGTTGAAAAGTTTTCTCTTTCAGAGTTTTATTTATACCATCCCATTGCCTTCTCGCTTGCACGGTTTCTGCTGAGAAATCAGAGCTTATTCTTACTGGCTGTCCTTTTAGGTAACTTTTTGTTTTTCCTGTGCGGCTTTCAGGATTCTGTCTTTGTCTTTGGTTTTGATGAGTTTGATGATGATGTGTCTGGGTGATTTTCTTTTGGGGTCTATCCTGTTTGGGGTTCGTTGAACTTCCTGAATGGATACGTTCTCATGTTTCATCATTTCAGGGAAGTTCTCCTCCAGCAAATCTTGGACAATTTTCTCAGTGGTTTTGTTTTTCTCTTCCTGTTCTGGAATTCCAATGACACATAAGTTATTCCTTTTGGTGGTATCCCACATGAACCTTAGGCTTTCTTCATTTTGTTTTGATTTTTTTTCTGATTGATCCTTTTCCAAAGAAGTATTTAGGTATTTTTTCTTCCATCTCATTAATTCTGTCTTCCATCGCATCAATTCTTCTCCTTTGCCCTTCCAATGTGTTATCTATTTCTGACAATTTAGTATTAATCTTCTGGATTTCTATCTGTAGATTTAGAATACTTTCTAATTGTTCATTTATTTTGTCATTTTGTTCTTGTATTTTCTTCCAAAATTCTTGTAAGGTTTTTTTCTGTGTTTTCTTTGGTCTGTTTCTCAATCCTTTGAAGATACCTAAAGATAATTCTTTTGAATTCCTTATCAGAGAGTTCCAATGCTGCTTCTTCCTCAGGGATGTGTTCTGGGTCTTTGTCCTGCTTCCTTGTTTCTACCACTTTATCTTGCTTCTTTGTGTGGACTGTGATGGTCTGGCATTGTGGTGTTGTTGTATTTAGATCTCTGTTGACTGTTTGTGAAGAGCAGCCAAGGGTGATTCAGGCTCTTCTTGTTGTTTTTTTATCGTTGGCCTTGTCAGTCTTGCAGGTCCCAAGTGTCCTTGGGGTTGCTGGAAAGCAGAACGTGTTCTTAAGCCCCAGGAATCTGCGAGACTGCTGTCTCTTTAAATATCAAAAACAGTCAAGCTGCTTTTTAAACTTTCAAAATGGTGATGCCCTCCGGACTGGCAAAGGTCCACAGCTCAGCCCACCTTTCTCTTTACCTTCTCCATTTGTTTCCCAGCCACCGTGCACAGTCCTACATCCAGTCCCTGGCTAGCAGGGTGATTTTTAGGTTAATGCTTAGGTCCTACCACCACTCAGGAATCTCCAAGCTGTCTGTGCCATCAGGATTGCTGCCAGACCACAGCTCCGTCTGTCTCCTTTTTTGGTATTTTCACACAAATTCTTCTGCTACTTGGTGTTTAGTCCACTTCTTTATCCTTGCCTTCAAGGCTCAGGGGTCCAGGAGTAACTTCTATATCTGTGTTAATTGGTTTCCCTTTTCTTTGTTGAAGAAGGTCTGTGCAGTCTTTCTGCCTAGTCCGCCATCTTGCTGGATCTATGAGTGGTTTTTTTAACTCCCTGATTTGGGTGTCTTTGTTTTTGTTCTCTGGATTTCAAAGTTTTTAATCTTGTGATTTAGCTGATTAGTTTCTTTGTCCTAGAAAGTACAGTAGCCCGGAGCCTACCAGCACGTGTGCTGACCAGACAGCAAGTGCGTGCTCTGCAAGATGGCGCTGAACTTTACGAGGCTGTGAGCGCCGCGCCAGACCCAGGCCTCCTTGAGGTGAGAGGAAGAACTGCAGCTATCACCCTTCAAGGTGGGAGCTGCTGTGCCCCTTCTGGCCTCGATGGGGAGCATGGTGTGCTGGACTACTGTGTTTCTCAAATAGGAAGGTAGACGTTTGTTGTCTGTGAAGTGCAAACCCGTGCTCTGTGGGAGAGAGATGAGGCAGTCTGCCTGTGAGTATATTAATTTTCATTTTTTATATTTGAGATTTTGAGATACTTGTATTTGCAAGTATCAGAGCCTTCCCTTTTTAAATTCAATTCTGTTGTATTTTATCCTCATTTAACATTCAACTTACAGGGGACACAGGTTTTTGTTTGGTTCTGCTTGCTTTTCTGATACTGTCCGCCTAAACCTTTAACCTTTGACCTGCCACAGGGTTACTTGAGTGAAGAGCAGCTGAGAGCCTTGAACAGCCACCGGCAGATGTTGAACAATAAGAAGCAGGCACAGATGCAGTTGGAGCTCCAGAAGGCCATCGAGTCCGCCGAGCAGGGGGAGCAGGGTCTTTCGAGAGATGTTGCCACTGTGTGGAAGCTGCGTGTTGTAAGCTATGCGAAAAAAGGAGGAGACTCAGGTCAGTGTGGAAGGTATTTGTTTCTATCAGTTTTGTTAAGTTAAATAAATGATCTTCCTTATGAATGAAATGACTATCGATGTTGGCTGATATGTAAAGTTAGTATATATCACAGGTACAGTAGGGGCCACCGGTGCCCACAATGTAACAACATAACCCTTAGATTTATGTTGTTAGATCTCGTCTTTATTTTTAGAGTAAGAAGTGTTACGATGGACTATTTTCCCATTGTGCAGTTCCTTTTTTTTTTTTAATTGTGATTTGGGTGAAAGTTTACAGAGCAAATTCACTTTCTATACAGCAGTTCACATACACTTTGTGTCATGACATTGTGCATTTTTTTAATCTTTCTTTCAACAGTTCTGTTGACTATCTGGCGTCCGTCATCAGAGCTGTCCTCCCTGTTGATGGAGGGAAAGAGATACAGGATCTATCATCTCGCCACATCAAAGGCTAAGAGTCGATCTGGAAGAGGGAACGTACAGTTAACAGCAACCAAGACGACGCGGTACCAGCAGCTGCCGGTACACGTGTGCCCATGCCCTTCCACTCTGGTCGATGTTGTTCAGCTGTAGAATCTACATTTACTTAGTCTTTACACTTCTATTTCTTTTCCCTGTAGACTTCAGATGAAATCCTGTTCCAGGTGTACCAGCCAAGGGAACCCCTTCCCTTCACCCAATTATTCGACCAAGACTTCCAGCCCCCTTGCTTGGAGGTGGACCTGATAGGATTTGTAGTCTCTGTGGTGAGAAAAAGAGGTAACATGAGTGGCTCTCACTGTGCTCTCTGTGGACCCTCTGAAACGCACTGCCTTCTAAGATGTATCTTCCTGCTGGTTAGTTAGGAGCCCTTGGTGGCACAAATAATTAAGCACTCAGCTGCTTACCAAAAGGTTGGCAGTTCAGATCCACACAGGGGGGCCTCAAATAAAGGCCTGGCAGGCTACTTCCCAGAAAACAGCCACTGAAACCCGTGGAGTAGCTTTCCTAACACGCGTGCGGTCACCATGAGTTGGAATCAGAGCCTTGGCCGTGAGCTTTCGTGTATTCTTAGAATGGGATTTCTCGTGGTTGGACTTTTGTCTTTTCCTATGCTCTTTCTCCTTTAAGAGAAATGTTTTTGTGGTTTGGTTCTTAGTGCTGTGTGGATGGTGTTGGCTGTGGGGTGTGACTATGCTGCACTGTTGCCATGGCATTTCGTTTCACCTTGCTTGTACTTGAGTGATTTTCTCCACATGTTTTATTGTGCATATACAGGGTATGTATCGTATATAGAGCATATACAAGGTAATCCACTGCCGTGGAGTCGATTCTGACCCACAGCGTCCCCAGAGGACAGAGTGGAACTGCCCCACAGGGTTTCCAGGGCTGTCAATCTTTATGGAAGCAGATGCCTCAACTTTTTCCATAGGAGCAGGTGGTGGGTTTGAAGTGTTGACTTTTTGGCTAACAGCCAAATTTTTAACCATTGTACCACTAGGGCTCCTATGTGAGTATCAGACTTAGGAATGTTTGTTTTATTCTATGGGTATTCATAGAAAATTCAGTATGCTTACCCCTTACCCATGGACATGGTTAGGTTCCAAAGACCAGGTCATTATGTGAAAATGGAGGATGACTGCGTTATTATGTAACTGCCAAGTTGTATCTTTGCTTAACTGCCAAATGATGTCATTGTATAACTAACTGCCAAACCACTGAGAGTCATGGCCCAGCCAAATTGACACATAACCTTACTCGTCACAGCCAGCATTACTCTCACCTACCCCTTGGCATTTATTACTGCCAGACGTACATCGTTAATGCACAAGATAATCAGATTGTAGATTTTGTACTGTTGTCATAAATGTGAAACATTGGGTAATGTGATAGTTGGTAAATGAGGAGTAGGTGCACTTTCGTTATTTTGTGCATCACGTTGTTCAAGCTCTGGCCACCCAGAGTTTTTCCAGGTGGGCCTGGGTCCTTTCAGTATATGGGGGGCTGAAGCGAGCACTGCGTCTGTTCTTTCAACAGGCTGCCACCCTGTTTGGAGTATTTCCTTCCTCTCTGGCTCAGAGCATGCTTCACTTCATCTTGTCTGTGTCCTGCCCAGCCCTGGGATGCACTGCCCCGAGAGCCCTGGCTCCCCATGTGGGAGAAAATGGTGTTTGGAAGCCAGGATGTGGTTGCTCGAGGTGCTCACTGCTTGCGGTTGTCGTTGCTCCTAGGCCCTCAGCAGACACCTGGGAAATACACCAGTGCATTGTAACCACACGTGTGGCTATTTCTTTCTATCTGTATTTAAATTAACTCCTGCGAGTTGACCCTGATGCTTTTAGCTCCATCCAGCACCACACACTCAGCTTTAGCCTCCCCGTTTCCTTATCTGTAACTTCCTTCTGCAACAGTGGGAGCCCCAGCTCCCATCTACAGTCCAGCACCCACGCCATGCTGGCGCACGCACAGAGCCCTTGCACCGCTGCCCACCCACATCCCTGGGAGAAACCCATCTAGCTCACGGCTTTCACGCGCAAGCCAGGTGCCTGTAGCGTTACAGTGCTCCGTCACGATCCCATTTTCCAAAGTCACTTACGTCATTTCTTTTCCCACCCCCTTTCACGTGGTAGCCCTTTATAACAGAGTTCAGATCATTTTTCCAATGCTTGTGTTCCATCTCGGATCCCCCTCTGGCTGGCTGGCTTGTTGATTTGGGGGGATGTGGCTGGCATGTGAAATATCACTGTGGCTCCAGAGTCAGGGCTGTCCAACAAGATAGACGTGTCCCGTCCTCCCCCCCCCCGCCGCCCTGATCCCGCCCCCCCCCCCACCCGGTCTCTTTCATGTCTGGTTTATCCTCCCTGAATTTCTTTTGCATGAATGAGCTGATGCATGTCTCCTGTCCCTTGCTGTCTCACATGGAGGTTGCATACTCAAGCAGTCTTCTGTGCTTTCCGTTTTGCACTTAGCAGCATGCCTTGGAAATCTGTTCTTGGAGGTCTTCCTAATTCCTTTTTCCGTCATATGCTATATATGAATGAGCCAGTTATGCGTTGCTCGCCTGGGTATGGGCTTACTAGCAATGTGTCCATGAGTCCCCACCGATAGACGCCTTCAGGGACCCTTTGCGTGTGTATTTTAATAGGACACCTTCAGGGGCCCCTTGTGTGTGTATTTTAATAGGAATGAAGGTGTATTAGCATAGAGTAGTGGAGTGGATGCTGAGTGGAGAGGTAAGTGTGGACATAGTTCTGAGTCTGCCTGTGTCCCCATGGCTTCCACACGGTGCATATTGTGACATAGGCATTGATGTTTCACCACCATGAACAACAGGGTGTTTTGGAATCCTGAGATTGCTCTAAATTCAGTTATTTTCTATTGCTTTTGATATTAGCACCTCCTGACATAACAGGCGCATGTAAGCGGTTCCTTGCATTTCCAACATGGCTCATTTTTTCTTTCTTTTCCCATTTAGGTCTTGCCCCTGTGGTCTATCTGTCAGATGAAAGCCATAATTTCCTGGCAATAAAATTCTGGATCGATCTTAATGAAGACATTATAAAACCTCCTATGTTAATTGCTGCCAGCAACCTCCAGTGGCGACCACAGTCCAAATCAGGAGTTCCAACTTTATTTGCTGGAGATTTCTCCACATTTTCTTCCAGTCCAAAGGAGGGCCACTTCCAGGAGGTGTCCAAGAAAATGAGAAATGCCATTGAGGTGAAGTGACTTTCAGCTTTACCACATATTTTTGATCTTTTTCTATATTGACATTCAAATATTAAGGTCCTTTCTGAAAATTGGAGGGTTGACTTGAGTGAGGTGCAGTTCCATTGTACATGCCCAGGAAGCTGAGGAGATTGGGGAAAGGTAGGGATGACAGGTCCCAGGGAGAGAGGCACAAGCCATGGTGAACGGACTTGGGAGGGACTGAGAAGGAAGTGAAGAGCTGCAGACCTTGTAGGCAAACTAGCAATCGGTCGCCAGAAGGCATTGCCTGTGACGGTGGCAGGTGACAGTGTAATTAGTAAAAACCTTACCATGTAATCTACAGGTTTTCATTTAACTTCATATCCAGAATGTTCTAGTTCATTACCTGCCTTCTGTGTGAAACAATCTGCTCTTGTCCCCCAGATCATGCCTGAATCTTACACTTTAATCTATTGATACATCATACGGTAATGTTAGCAGTCATTTATGAGTACCTGCTGTGTGCCAAGGAGCTCTGGTGGTGTGAGTGGTTAAAGCATTTGGCTGCTAACCAAAAAGTTGGCTATTTGAATGCACCAGCCACTCTGTGGGAGAAGGATGAGGCAGTCGGCTCCATAAACACTGACAGCCTTGGAGACCCTGTGGGGCAGTTCCACTCTGTCCTCTAGGGGTGCTTTGGGTCAGAATCGAGTCCACAGCAGTGGGTTTGGTTTGGACTTTGCTTCCATAAAGATTGACAGCCTTGGAAACCCTACAGGGCCCTTCTACTCTGTCCTCTAGGGGCGCTGTGGGTCGGGTTGCACTCAGTGGCAGCGGATTTGGTGTTTTGGTTTATTGTATGCCTGGCATTGCCTCCTTTAATTCCACCACCAACCCCATGAGGCTGAGATCTGTTAGTCAGTGTATGGGTGAGAACCAGAGCCGTGGTGTGGGCTCACAGCCCAGTGATTCAACCTTGGGCCGTTTGAATTCAGAGCCCAGGCTCTTCACTCCTGTGCAGCTCTGCGTCCTGTGGAATGAGGCCTTCATCGCTTGGTAATTAGTGAGGAATCCCTGTGAGATAAGCCTCTTAGTTCTATAGTTATAATTTGTGAACTGTGTGTTACTCAAAATGTATGTACATAAAGTTTTATTTAAAAACATCAGGGTAGCTGCTGTGGAAAGGAAATCTGCCTTGTATTTCACCTGAAGCCTTGGTCCACAGCGTGAGGAGCTGCACCTGCTTTATGTTGTTTCTGAGGGTGGAATGGAGGGGCCATTCATTATTTGGCACACAACCAAGGTGCCTTCTGGGACACTCAGGTTTTCTGTGGGACACCATTGCCAGCAGTTGAGTTTGGGTTTCTCTGGGGCTTTCTTCGCAGTAGTCTTGCTAAAGGGTCACCTGATAACCACCATTTGCACAGCATTTTAAAGTCAGCCAGACCATGCCCGTGAACCTGGCTAACCTGTGTGAAGCTCCTGCTGTTTGGTCTTTCGTGACTCTGAAACAAGGATTCACGTGGTTTAACCTTCAAATTATTCCAGTGAATTCTTGGAAGATGTGATGTAGGTGAGGCAGTTAGCTCATTTTTCTACCTCAGGAGCACTCTGGAAGGAGCCCTGGTAGTGCAGCAGTTAAGTACTCATCAGCTAACTGTGTTTCAAACCCACCAGCGGCTCCACAGGAGAAAGACCTGCAATCTGCTCGCATGGAGATGACAGCCTGGGAAACCCTGGGAGGTAGTTCCCCTCTGTCACACAGGGTCCCTGAGTAGAGCACAAGGATACTCTAGATGTCAGATGGCTTACAACTATTACACAGTAAACCCAGTCTGCAAATCCAGCACCATGTGCCACCCTCCGGGTCAAACTAGATGATGGGGAAGGTCTCTGACATCTTCCTTTCATGCTCACACACACTCACTCACTCACTCTCTCTCTACATATATCCCCTCCCTTCCTTAACGTTAACCCAAAACCCAAACTTACTGCCTTCCAGTTGATTCCAACTCACAGCACCCCTAGAGGACAGAGTGGAACTGCCCGAGGCTTTCCTAGGCTGTCAATCTTTATGGAAGCTGAGTGCCTCATTTTTCTCCTGTGGAGCAGCTTGAACTTTTGGTTAGCAGCCAAATGCTTTAAGCACTGCGCCACCAGCAACTTTAATTTCCCCTAAATCATGGTTTTTGGTTTTGTGTTGCCTCGTAAGCATACTGCTGGACAGTTACTGTCACACCTTGGTGTCTCATCCTTTAGTTTTTATTCCTGTATTATTTTTCATGTCTAGTTGTAATGTAAACACTTCCTGGAAACGTGCACGTGTGGTCTGCACTGTATGCAGCAGCTCTTCCTGTTTATTTTCTCAGAATGTTGCTGTATTTTGCAAGGACGCAGAAGACAAGCTAATGCATATACTTAATGCAGACAGCCCCAAGTGGGCCACCCCAAGTAAAGACCGTGCTTCCGAGCCACACGCTGCACAGGCCGTCCTTGGCGCAGAAAATACGCCTCTGGTGAGTAAACGTCTGTGTACCGTAAGGAGTGATGTGAACATCACACATGCAGACAGTCTGTTCTGACGAATACTAGTAAACGCAGTAAGCGTGGCTCAGCCTCCCTAGAAAGTGTGGTTGTGTGCTGCGTGGCTCCCAGAGGAAGGCTTGTTTTCTTTCCTGGAGTGAGACTAGAATGTCCTCGGGTCGGGCTTTGCAAGCGGGTGCTTTCATACTTAGGCTTCTGCAGACTTGTGATCGACAGCCGCTTTTGCCTGTTTCCTTCTGGCGGGAGGACTGTTGCATACGGTTAGAGCAGTGCCTACGCTCAGTTTAACTGTTTAAACCACAGTAGATGCCTCCATATATTAGAAATCAAGCTACGTTCTGTCGTAGTGGCTGAGAACTAATTCCTAAGGAGCTGAGCCTTGCTAAGTGTCATCTGTACTTATGTTCCGTCCTCAGCGTGGCACAAACAGCTATCCCCTCGAAGGGCCACGGTGGGGACGGAACCATGAGCACACACTAGGCAGAGGCATGGGTGGGGCACAGTCTGCCCAGGGCACAGTGCCAGAGGAGGGCTGTCGGAACCACTGAAAGTGGTTCTAGGGTGTTTGGCTGTTTCCCGTGTTAATAATAAAGGATTGGAGCCCGGCTCCTGTCCCCTCCTCTTTTCTTGTCCTTCAGCTTGGTTAGTCTTGCCTTCCTCCTCTGCTCTGATGGTCAGTTTACACCCTCTTGTGGCAAATTCTTTCCTGAAACAGCAGGCGGGCTGGCTGTGGACCTGGTCTGTCTGCCCCTGGTGGGGGAGTGTGTGTGCTGTCTGCGTGACTGAAGGCTTACTGAGAGCTCGTTTGGTTTTGTTTGGTATGTAGCACGTAATTACAGCAGGCCACTTCTTAGGTGGTTTTTACTGGCTCTTTTTCTAGTCCTGAGATTAATTCGCGGAGTTCTTTGTCACTTTGTAGCCGAAAGGGAGGTCTCTGCCAACACCTGCGCCTTCCCAGAAGACTTCCAAAGGGGAGAGGGAAGTCGAGGACCCAAAAGCCGTCAGGAAGAGAAGAGCCCTGGACTTCCTGGGGAGACTGCCTTTGCCGCCTCCCGTCAGTCCCGTCTGCACGTTTGTTTCCCCGGCGGCACAGAAGGCATTTCAGCCGCCCCGGAGCTGTGGCTTCAAATATGAGACCCCTCCAAAGACAAAGGAATTGTGTTCTCCTCGGATGACTCCGCTTAGAAAAGGCAACGAAACTGCTCTTGTGGAGAGCGACTCCATAGCTGATGAAGAACTCGCGCTCATCAACACCCAGGCCCTTTTGTCTGACTCGGCAGGACAGAAGCCACCGGGGTCGGTCGGAGGTTCCACCAGGACCACGCCCGCTGGTGCCAAAGATCATGTGGGACAGCGGCGGCCTCGCGCGACGTCTGAGCTCCGAGAGCAGGAAGCGTCTCACAGCGGCCCGGAAGAGACCGGCGCCCAGGGGGCAGGCCGGGCAGCGCATTCATACCGCAGATCTCCGAGGCCGCCCAAACAGAAGTGACTGTGCGAGCCGCTGGCTCCTGGCCTTCCCGGTTCACACGACAGACGCCGTTTCAGACTGCGCTTCGGTGCCCGCGGAAGAAAACGCGTCACCCGAGTTCCCTCTGTCTGTGTCGCTGGGGTGCGCTTTGCCCGCTTCTGCGCGGGTCTGCTTTCATTTCCGTTCCAGACCTTACAGCCAGCTTGGTACACGGATCAAGTAACTGAGAAAAAATCTCTATGTCTGCCTGACTTGATCTGACCACTGCAAGTGTCATTTTGAAGAGGTAAACACACCTTTCACTTTAGGCTGTGGTAGCGACCACATGGTAGGAGGGCTCTCGCTCGACTCCCCAGTCCTGTCACTGTTAGTTCCTAGTTGAGATTTCTTTTCGGGGTAGCTCACGGTGAGCAGTTTCTCTGAACACATGTTGGTGCCGGCTTAACCCTTCCTGTTCAAAAGTCAGGATGCGTAAGACACGGGGAGGGGAGTTTGCTTCCGACCGGTTCTTCATCCCTAACTCCCCGCGACCACACGAGCAGCCGGACCTTCTGTGCAGTTCCGAGGTACGATTCCCAACCGACTCACCAGAGTTAACACCATTAAAAATGCGAATGTTTTGTTAGGGGGTTTCGTAGTGTTGTTATTAATTTTGAAAAGTAAATATCATCTGACCTGCAGCCTCAGAGTGTGTCTGGTTCAGATTTGCACGGAGTATACCTGCTTTGTCTGGCGTCTTTGTTCACACACTTCACCAGACCCTGAAGGCCACCAGAGGGAACAGTTCACTGTAAGACGCTGTTCTCCTGACTTAATTTCTTTATGCTTAGTGGAGAGAAGGTGGCCAGGCAAAAGCAGGGAGAAGCTGTTAAATCAAGCTTTTTAATCTGTTCACTTTATATGTAACTACCTTGTTTTCCTAATCATAATTATATCTGGTTATAAACACATTTCAAAGCCAAGAATAAATCCTTTTAAAAATCTATTTATTTCCTTCCAAAATGATTGACTGGGATCCATGATCCTTCTGTCCTCTAAAATCCATTGGCCTACTAAGTCGTCTATTTTACTAGTCTTTTAACTGCCCCCTAGTCCCATTAATAAAAAATACGAGCTCTGGTGGCGTAGTGCCTAAGACACTTGACTGCTGACCAGAAGGCTGGTAGTTCAAACCCACCAGCCACTCCTCGGAAGGAAGGTTGGGCAATATACTTCCGTAGTGATACCACCTAGGAAACCCAAGGAGGGGTCGCTATGAATCATATTGACTCAATGGCAAGTGAGTTTGGTTTTTGGTTTGGTTAGTCCTGTTAATGCAGGTTAAGTGGTTTCATAAATTCTTTTGATCCTAACATCCTACTCATTTCCAAGTGATCCATCTGGAACAAGGAAGAACCTTGAGTCCCAGATGAACAGAAGGAAGTAGATTATAAGAATTTAACTTTTCCTTTGATTTCCGAGGAAAACCAGCTTGTCCCTCCTCTGCTCGTCAATACCGTTCAGACCACTGTGCTAGGGACACCTAAGGCCCTGCCCCTTTTGTTGTGCATGAAGTGTGTCTGTGAGGATATTGTCCCCAGCAGGGTGATCACGTCAGGATGACAAAGTCCAGAGTCCACTGTGTGATGGGGGTAAACAGGCAAAGCAACCTACTGATGATTCCGCGGCCCTCAGCCAGCACCCACCGTGTGCAGTGCCACCGCAGCCCGTCAACAGTGCCCGCGAGATAGTGCAGGTCATCGTGGGAGGCTCGCAGGCTTGTCTGCGGCAGCAGCTGTGGGTGTTACCATCGTCCCAGACGAGGGCCCGAGGAGAGGCAGAGGGACACAGCCCACCGGGACCCTGCTCTGCAGAGCTCTGTGCAAGCCCTGGATCGAGAGCCAGTGCCACGTCACTGGGAACCAGACCCTCAGCAAAGCAGAAGGGGAGTAAAGCCGTCCCCAGCTTGGCGCTGTCCCTTCTACTAAGCTCCATCATGTGAGCCATCTGTACTGAGCTGATTCTACAGTGACACCCAGCACTCCCTGGACCGGGAATACAGGAGTAAATAAGGAGCCCCAGTGGCACAATGGTTAGAGCATTCGGCTGCTAATCAAAAGGTCTGTGGTTCAAACCCACAGGCTGCTCTTCAGGAGAAAGATGTGAGAATCTGCTCCCATATAGATGACAGCCTTTGAACTCTTACAGGGCAGGTCTGCTCTGTCCTCCAGGGGCGCTGTGAGTTGGAAGTAACTCCACAGCAGTTGATTAAAGGAGCCCTGGTGGTGCAGTGGTTAAGTGCTCGACTGCTAACCAAAAGGTTGGTGGTTTGAACCCACCCAGTGGCTCTGCAGGAGAAAGACCTGGTGATCACAAAGATTCCAGCCTGGGAGACCTTATGGGGCAGTCCTACTGCGTCACATGGGGGTGCGCAAGTCAACAATTGACTTGACAGCCCCCAGCAACAGATTACTATGCCGTGCTTGGGTACGCAGAGTTTAATGAAACTTACGCTCACCCCTTAGATTCATTCACATTTACTCTACTCTATTTTGTCAACCAAATTTTGTTACTCAAAGAGATACCACCTTACAAAGTGTTGGTGAAACAAGGACGGATGCATCGCTGGTGGCCATCAACCTGTGGAGTAGATTTCAATAATGTCAGGTCACGGGAACATGCAGTGAAGGGGTCTCTAATGTGCACTAGTTTGTTGATGTCAATTCTGACACATGTGCACAGAACAAATCATTTACATAAGCCAGCATATAAATCTACTTTATTCATTTGTACAAAATATGTAATATATCATTTATATAAGATATATGTTTTTATTGGTTTACGTTGGACATGCTGTTCTGGCCAATGGTTTATGATACAGAAAAACTGGTTCTTATGTGGAAAAACATGATTTCCTTGGATTTCTATCCAAGAAGAACATGATTTCCTTGGGATTTAGGTAATTACGTTTTTATATTGTTGATTTAAAAAAACAAATTCAATGACACACCCGTATGAATGTTATGTACAATTTTTAATAACCATAAAAGCACCATTATATGGGACACTGAAAATAACACTCCACAGAACATTAGAAAGAAGCTGCTGGCCAATAGGAAAAAAAGCAGGGTCTTGTCTGTCATGATCACTAAATTAGCCTGATCCTAGTCTGCTGGAATTTAACTTGGAGTCATAAAGTCTATTTGCATATAAGAGGGACACCCACCCTTGTAGGAGAACGTGATTGTCTTAAAGAAGCCACATAAAACAATTGCTAACTGCTGGCTGTTCACTGGAAGGCTGGCAGTTCAAACCCGCCCAGAGACACCTCCGAAAAAGGCCTGGGGATAACGTCTGAGAAGTCAGCCACTGCACCCCCTGCAGGGACAGCTCTACTCTGACACACGGCGGCTGCCACGAGTGGGTGTCAAGTGGACGGTGACGGGCTCCTGGCTCCGTGCTCTCTGTCCTGGGATGCGTAACTTCTTGCACTCCCAAGTATTTCGGCTGCCAACCAATTACATTATAGGCATAATTTAAAAATATTTAATTACGCTTTTCAAAAACTTGTTTTATGAAGACAGGCTCATTTTATCTCCACTAGTTGAACAACAGCCAATTTTACTTATTTTGTTGTTGACAATCTACACAGAACATACGCCAGTTCAGCTGTTTCTCCATGTCCAGTTCAGTGACCCTGGTTCCATTCTGCTAGTTGTGCAAGTGTCCTCACACGCCTTTGAGTTGTTCCTGCCCCACTGACGTGAACTCACTGCCCCTACACTTCCTAGAGGGCGATTATCTTTAAAATGAATATGCCAGAAAGTACACATGTATGGGAGCACCACCCTTCACAGAAGACACGGGAGAATGATTTCCTTATTCTGCAAACATGTCCTTGTTAGAAATGTGTCCGACCCTTCATAGCCAGTCAAGCTACTCGGGAAAATGTGTCACATTACTTAAAGCCGTGCCTTGTGTTTTAACTACCACTTCCAACAACAAGGGAGCCCTGGTGGCATAGTGGCTGAAGCACTTGGCTCCTAACCAAGAGATGGTAGTTAGAACTCACCAGCAGCTCCACAGGGAAAGATGTGACAGTCGGCTTCCTTAAGGATGACTGTCTTAGAGACCCTCTGGGGCAGTTCCACTCTTATCTCTGGGGCGTTGTGAGTCAGAATTGACTCCAGGGCAATGGGTTTGGTTTGGCCTTTGTTTCTATAAAGATTGACAGCCTTGGAGACCCTGTGGTGCAGTTCCACTCTGTCCTCTAGGGGCGCTGTGGGTCAGAATGGACTCCACAGCAGTGGGTGTGGTTGGGGCTTTGCTTCTGTGAAGATTGACAGCCTTGGAGACCCTGTGGGGCAGTTCCACTCTGTCCTTTAGAGGCACTGAGAGTCAAAATTGACTCCACGGCAATGGGTTTGAGGTGGTTTTTTTCTATTCGTTCAACAGGGTTAAACCTGAAAACTTTTTGGCCGTTGTTCTACTAGTGTAAGTCAAACAAGCCTACCTTCATCAAACACTAATTTTTGGTAGGAATAATGAAATGCTTAAAAAAAAAAAAAAAGGAGTAATTGATTTTGTTCTCGAGTTCCCTATCAACAAGCTATTTTCTCACTAGAAAGGGGCGTTGCTTGCTCAGATCTGCGCATGCCCCGCCACAGACCCCCAGCGCGTGGGAGCACTTGACAAACACGAGCGAGCGTGACTGTAATGGTGTCTGCTAGACAACCTGTGGAGCTGAGTGGTCTACCCTGAAATTACAGCTCAAAGAAGAAATACCAAAAACTGACGTAAAAACGGATTTAGGACACTTTGCCGCGGCTGTCCGAGAAGAAGCTAATATCCATGGTGGCATCCGCCTCTCCTGCTGAAGAAGCTCTCGCTGGCGAAGCCGCTGCTGCGGGGCTTCCCGCTGGGACACACCACGTAGGTGGGCCAGGGCCCTGCGACGTCGGAAGGGGACGTGGCGCCCCGGTCCTGGTTCCTGTTCGCTCGGCCTGGCTTCTCTGCGTGCAGCACGCTGTGAAAGGTAACGCACTGTTCATACCGTTCTTTCATGCGCTGTATTTTCTCTCTGGAGACGCCGTGAATGTTTCTTCTATGTGGGGAAGAAAGCGCAAACGTTTAGTTATGGCCGTCCATCAGCGTGAGTCATTTGTATTTTACGAGGCCTGTATTATCACGTAAACAGGACTTAAGGGTAGCTAAACATGACATCTTGTTACGCTCGCTCGCTAGCTTTCAGGCCCCATTCCTGTTGGCCACGCTGCCGCTCACACCCTCAAACTACCCCGAGGTTGGCAGGAGCCGACTGGCGCGTCAGAAATGCTTCCTTTGTGGAAACCCCAGTTCTGTGCTTCTGGAGGTAAGACAACACCATGAGGTCCTTTTCTCCTATTGGCTTGTTAAGGGCATGCATTTACCACCCGTTGACCTCAGCCAGTCCTAGATACTTCTAGATGCTGACTGGAGCCACCTTAGATTCTACTGGGTATCCGAATCAGCCGGGGGCAGAGATTCCAACTGTGAAGTGGGCTCCTCCCGCTAAGATTTTAACCACCTCCCCAGGGCACTGGGGCGGGCCAGGTCCACAGACCCACTTCCAAAAAACACTTAATATCTGTTTGTAACTGTGAGAATGAACTAGCTGCATTTCTGAAGTCAGTTATGACATAACACTTGCTTTACATCACTGACTTTATCAAATAACAGCAAATATCAGAACCCATGCACCCAGTCAACAGTTAGTACAGTTGGGACATTTGATGCGTCATCAGTAGAAGCAGCATCTAGACCGTGCAGAAACACCGCTAGCACATAGACTCCCACCAGAGGAGTGTTCTGAGGGTCACTTATGAGGAAGCAGCTCAGCAGAGTGTCTAGTGGGTCCCAAGAAAGCACCGAGGCCCAGCCAGGACTTAAGCTTTAGCAGCGTAGCACTGTCTCAGACAGCTGACCCCAAACTGATGTCTTCACATTCATAATTACAAAGGGATCAATTTGCAAAGAAGACCCTTTCTGGCCTGAAAATTCCCCTGTCCACTGCCAGCCTGACCAGTTTTCTCGTTCAGTCTGAAACACCTGAAAACAGCAGGCTACCCAATGAGGCTCTAGAAAAGCAAAGAAGTACCTTGCTAACTCTGCAACGTTGAATTTCCAGCGAGTGTCAGGTTCTCGGAATATAACTTCATAGTTATTTTCAAGTGCCTGATTTTTCAAAAGTACATAAAACATTGAAGACATGGTATGTATGTTTGGGAAGGTACACGCTGCCATTTAACATTTACGACAAGTCTTTTCTGAAATTCCTTTGGTTTGACCAGTAAGCCAATGCCTAATTGCTCTTACAAAAATACAGTTGGTTCGTGTCCATACTTAGCCACTCTCAGAGTATACATTATGGTTCCCAGTGATTACATTGTGGTTTGTCTTCTCTCATATGTAGGAAAATTATAAAGGTCCTTTTCTTTTTGGCCATTTTTAAAGTATTTGGCTGTACCCTGAGGTGATCTCTAAAACTTAAACCAAAAGTATCCCCTGAGGTCGTCTGAAAACTGAATGCTGGTTTAGCTTAGTAAAGTCATCTGCCTTGAGCATTTGTGGTCTTTTAAGATCTGTAGCTATAGGATCAGGGTGACTACAGCAACCCACGAGGTTAGACAGGAACCTTGGGGGGGGGTGTCGATGGAGGAGGAACAATTTGGAAAAGAGGGGTGGCGATGGTTGCACAATTTGAAGAATGCGGTCAGTGTCCCTGAATGGTACATGGAGAAACTGTGGAATTGGGGTATGTTTTGCTGTGTCTATTCTCAACAACAACAACAAAATTAAATTATATTTAAAAAAAAAAAAAAGGTAGATGGCTGACCTTTAATGTCCTGTCAGCAGGTAGGAGCAGTGAACTCAATGGCTTCTCAAACTCCCTGATATGACTATTGTACAATTACTTCCATCACATCTCTTGTCCTGTCCCTCATGCCTTGGCTTAGAAAGTGAGAGTGCTGTGGGAACATAGCTTATGGAATCAAGAGTCATTTCCACAGACTTGGCTGTTCCCTCCACGAGTGTCTTTCCCTACGATTCCATGTTGTTGTTGTTATGTGCCATCAAGTCAGACCTGACTCATAGCGACCCCTCCCTGGGTTTCTGAGGCAGTATCACTACAGAAGTAGATTGCCCAACCTTCCTTCCAAGGAGTGGCTGGTGGGTTTGAACCGCTAGCTTTCTGGTTAGCAGTCAAGTGCCTTAGGCACTACGCCACCAGAGCTCCTATAGTCTGGCTCAAAGCCCCATGTCCTTGACTTTAGAAAACTATTACAGGATCTATGGAAGCATTCCTATATTCTTTCTGTTCATCAATTCACTAGTCATCTCAGATGGCAGTTTCTATGATCACTGTTGTTCATTGTGTTACAAGATGCAGAATGAAACGAAAAGAGCTCCAGAAAGACATTCCTTCATTCCTTCAATGGATGCTTTCAGCTAGGGAAGGATTTGGTACCATGTCTGGAAAACACCAAATTTCCAGGTGCTATTCAATAGCTGGAGACAGCTGAAAAAAATTGTACATATGCAGAAAACAAAACAGGAAACCGACTTCCCTTGAACCCCTGTTGGTGAAGCCTAACTCTTAGGCCTGGTCTGCACTGTGATTCACTTGCGTGCTCATATTCCTGCTTTCTTTTTCCACTTGGGCTCCCGATCCATGAACTGAAGTACTATCAGGGTGGTCCTTGTTTTCTCACATGGCCCCGGTCCCATGAGATGGGCCTCTGTAAACCTGACAGAAGCTCTGCGGGACACAAAGCAGACCTGTCGGGATGTGACTGTGCCCATAGTGTAAGTGGCTGAGAAACGGCCTACCACGAGCCCAGCTTTAGAGATCCTCGTTTCACAGTTAACAGGGTGGGATTGCGTGTGACTAAGCAGAGTGCTCAGCTGTCTCCCTCCTGCCCCACTCTGTGTTTCTCGACCTTTCTTCCCCTGATGCCTAACAGCAGGAATCCTGGTGGTGCAGTGACTTAAGTGCTCAGCTGTTAACCAAGAGGTTCATAGTTTGAATCCAACAGCTGTTCTACAGGAAGAAGATGTAGCAGTCTGCTTCCTAAAGATTGACAGCCTTGGAAATCCTGAGGTGCAGTTCCAATCTGTCCTCCAGGGGTGCTATGAGTCAGAATCCACTCCACAGTAGTGGGTGTGGTTTGGGCTTTGCTTCTGTGAAGATTGACAGCTTTGGAGACCCTGTGGGGCAGTTCCACTCTGTCCTCTAGGGGCGCTGTGGGTCGGAATAGACTGCAGGGCAGTGGGTGTGGTTTGGGCTTTGCGTCTATAATGATTGACAGCTTGGAAACCCCGTGGGGCAGTTCCACTCTGTCCCCTAGAGGCACTATTAGTTGGAATCAACCCAATGGCAGTGGGTTTTGTTTATCTCAATAAGATGATGGAATTAACCCTAAACCTGTTTTTAAACTACACATTTCTATTTAGTTTGCTTGAGAGTGTTGGAACTCCCAAGCTAGCAGCAGTACATGGTGCTGAAACCCCTGCTCGCCAAGGGCAGACCCATCCTGTGAGTGTAACCTGCAGCTCCACTGGTAGCATCACCAAGCCCAGTATTTCTCTGCAAAATCAAGTCACATCTCTCTGCATTGCCTCCAGTTAGGAAAATGACCAAGACAGAAACGCTCTCAAGAATTCAGACCAAGGACTGTTGACCAAGACTACTTAAAAACTGTAGGGGGTCCTGGTGGCACAGTAGTTAAGACACTTGGCTGCTACCCAGAAGGTTGGAGGTTCAAACCCACCCAGAAGCTCTGCAGGAGAAAGACCGGCAGTCTGCTTCCATAAACGTGGCAGCCTAGGAAACCCTGTGGTGCAGTGCTGCTCTGTGACATGGGGGCGCTGTGATGGGGAAGCGACTCGCCGGCACCCAACAACAAGAAATTGTACCGAGGTAAGGTTAGCATCTGAGCGCATTTCAGCCGCTGCCCAGCAGAGCGCCACTGATCTCAGACCCCTGCCTGCTCCCCAGGAGAGCTGGTCAGACACAGGATGAGAGCATGGGAGGGCAGAAGAGAGGAGAGAAGAAACGTGTCAACTTTTGCACAAGATGTCCACAACTGAACAATTCCGAATGACGCTTCCTCCTACCATGACGGCATAGGGCTTCATTTCCCAGGCGTGGAGGTTGGTATTATCGATAATTATGGGGGATATGCCATTCCTCATTGCTTTTCTTGCTGCAACACAATGTTACAGAACAGTGAGCAACATGCAACAATCAGAAGGCTGGGCCATAGCCGCGTTTGTTACTTTTATCACAGGCTGTCCTTCCACACACAGCTTTAACGCCGCCTATTCCAGCACCCATTATCAAACATTTTCTTTTTTTCCTGGAATCTAAGGCGGTCATTAGCTCTGTTTTGGGAAGCAAGTGGAGGGACTTTTGATTAAGTTCCTTCTATTAAAGCGTATGCAGTCTGTAGCAGCTACAATCTATCAGTGCACAACAGGGCTTCCCAGGAGATGGGGGGGACCCGTCACCTCTTTTCTGGTTCCACTTGTGTGCTTCCTCCAGGAAGTCAGGGTTGAACTCATAGCTGCCATCGTCCCGGAAGAAAAAGTCATCTGTGCTGAAAACCAGGGCCCTGGGGAAGTCATGCTGCAACTGCCTGCAACATGAAGGAACAAGAGAAAGGACTTACTGTAAGACACACTGAACTTACCGCCTTCTCCCTCTAAAATTCAGTAGTTTGTCATTCTAGGAGCACCAGACTTAGCTGTTGACATTCTACTGGAAGAGAATTCTTGTGTCGATTCCAACTCACAGCACCCCTAGAGGACAGAGCGGAACTGCCCCACAGGGTTTCCAAGGCCCATGATCTTTAGGAAAGCAAAGCCCAAACCACACCCACTACCATCAAGTTGATTGTGACTCAACAGCGCCCCCAGAGGACAGAGTGAAACTGCCCCATAGGGTTCTCAAGGCTGTCAGTTTTTACCCAAGCAAAGCCCAAACCAAACCCAGTGACGTACGCTCGATTGCGACTCACAGCGTCCCTAGAGGTAAAAGTGGAACGGTCCATAGGGTTTCCAAGACTATAATCTTTACGGAAGTTGAATGCCTCATATTTCTTCTGGAGAGTAGCTGGTGGATTTAAACTGTTGGGACTTTTTGGTTAGCAGCTGAATGCTTTAACCACTGTGCCATCAAGTCCCTTGCAACTCATAGCAACTCTATAGGACATTAGAACTGCCCCATAGGGTTTCCCTTGTTACCCTACCGAGAGGGACCAGGTCTTCGGAAGCAAGGTAAGCACAGGCGTAGCACAGAGTAGCAGGCCGGAAGAGCAGGAGGAAGGGGTGGAACCCAGGAAGCCA